GGGAATTCGTCCGCGGAAAAGGGCCCGCCGGAGGGCGGTGAAGGCCCCACAGGTGCGGTAGGTTTCACTGGTGTTGTAACTTCCACATTATCTGTAGTTTTCACCGGTTCGGCCCTTTCAACCTTTCCTACATTATCTGTAGGTTCCACAGTTGCGGTAGTTTTCACAGTTGTTGTAGCTTCCACATTATCGTTAGCATCCACATTACCTGTAGTTTTCCCATTTGTTGTAGTTTTCACCGGCTCGGCCCTTTCGACCTTTCCTACATGAGCGGTAGTTTTCACATTATCTGTAGCCTCCACATTTCCCGCATGTTCCGCCCTTTCCCAGTAGGTCAAGCCCGGATCCCCCGCCGCGCGAAGCCGGGCGAGGCGCGGGAGGGCCTCGGCGGAGGCCGCCTGCGCTTCCCGCTCGAGCCCCGCCCTCCACTCGCGGAGGGCGTCGTCGAGGTCGGTCGGCGCGAAGGCGAAATCCCGCACCGTCGCGAGCTCCGCGCGGGAAAAGAGCCGCTCGGAGAGCCGCTTGGCCTCGGTGAAGCTGAGCCGCTCCGTCGGCAGGGCGTGCAGGCAGTTCATGACCATATCAAACCGCAGCGAGTCCATCCCGCCCATCTGCAGGGCACTGGTGACGAGAATGGGGTGGTGAATCCCTTGAAAGCGCAGCTCGGCCTGAATATCCTGCGCGCGAAAGGTGTGGGTGGCCCGCTCGGACTCCTTGAGTTGGTCCGCCTTGGTCAGGACGATCGTAAAATTCGGGACCTCGCGCGCGAGGAACTTCAGGAGGTCGAGGTCTTGCACGTAGACGCCGTGTTTGTAGTGGACATCCATGCAATAGTACAACATCTTTAGGCTGGGCTGGCAGCGCGCGAAGTTGCGAAGCAGGGCGGCGTGCTGAAGGCAGGTCGCCCACGGCTGCGACGTCCCGCCGTAGCCCGGGAGGTCCACGATGTTAAAAACGCCGCCCACGTTGAAGAAGTTCATCGCGTCGCGGCGGAGGCGGCGGTTCGCGCGGCCGACGTGCGCCGCCGAGCGGAACAACGACCGAAGCAGCGCC